CCAGTTATCTTCTCACTGAAGAATTCCTCAGTGATAGGAACCCCACCATTAAAACCTACCTGCGGTACACCAAAGAGTGAGTCGAGAAAAATACTAAGTGTGTTTGTGCATGTGTGTGTGTGCACGGGTGTGTGGATGATAAAGAGAGAGAGAGAGAGGGAAAAATAAAGAGAGAAGCCTACTTCTTGAAGCATTTCATGGTAAGCATATTAATGGAAGGGATCTAAATCACACAATGTTCCATCAATATCAAATAGAATTGCTTCTAGAGGAGCGACACAAGCTAGATAAGATTTTCTGCCATCACATAATGGAAGGTGATTACCACAAGCAATCAAGTGACAAAAATTGAAGGTACAAAGAACGTGACGAAACTAAGATGCTATGTCTAGTGGCTCGGCCCAATGAAGCACAATTGTTTGTTCTATAAGTAAATATACTTCCTGTTAATATATATTACAGTTAAAAATCCTAAAATGCTAGATAAGATACTATAACTTTCTTGTCAATTTTGGTGACTATTAACATTTCACAAATTGCATGCACAAAGTACTCTCAATTAAACTATGGATATTATAGGATGTAGAAAATTATCGTAGTGCTAAGAAAGATTATGAGCTTTTGACCTTTTGTCCTGCTTAGCGTTTTCTTGAGTTTAAGCTATACTAAGTTGGCAAAGTAAAGCTGATGACAAGTAACCAGAAGATAAATAACTTTTCTAACTTATCAATGTGACCACAAGGCAGATAGATTTGCGATCAAATTTCCTCTTAGTCCCAAGACCAAAGGTTGAAGGGGTCGAACGCTTTGAACGAATAAGAATGAACATATTTGTTAAGGTAGGATAAAGAACAAACTTTTTGAATTGTCCATTATATCAACCATCGATCCCCAAGCCTACCATTTGAACTCCAAAATAATTTCACATTTCATATCAACCATCGGATATCAAGAACCCTTTAAATGCTTAGACAGACACCATCTCTCAACCCAAACCACAACAAAGAGGAAAAATAAAGGTTTTAGTTAGACAGTTCAAACACCATAAAGCTTTGCATTAAAGGTCAACACTTAAACATCAACCAATGTCTCAGAAGACTATGATCAGGCACCTAAATGAAGGCTGATGCAACATGCTCAGCTAAGCAATTTGTCCACAATCCTAAAAATGTAACAACATTTGACAATTACGTTTGCTGCTTTATTCAGAATCTGTTGAGAACGAGTTTCACATTGATGGGAGGAGGGACCTTGCATGGGCTTATAAGTGGTTGGGCTACTCCCCATATTGCCAATTGGTTTTATGGTGGAATCTCAACTTTCTTCATGGTATTAGAGCATGTTGCCCCACGTGTGAAGCCCACACACGCTCCACGTCATCCCGTTATGTTGTCCACACCTTGCATGAGCTTATAAGAGATTTTGCTACTCCCTATATTGCCAATTGGTTTTATGGTCAACTTTCTTCAGAATCAAGATTAGAATTCATAAGAACAATGATATTCCCACACACAACTGATTCCTGTAAACCGGAATTCAAACTAATTTACTCAAATTAAGCTTATCACATAAAATGTTCATAACTTATGAATAAGGACAACAATCACTCTTAAATATATAAATTTTGCTCAACCATTATACCTCCATGTAGCATTACGAAAACTCGAACAAACACTGCTTCATACAACATCAACAACAAATTATGCTTTGCAGAAGAAACTTAGATACAATGCTTTTAGGAGTAAAAATAAATTTAAGAAAGCAAGTAAATAAAAGAAATACCTATCGAGTGGATGAGCATTTGACGAAAGGGACACCACTATTAGTGAGGTTGATCTGAATTTAGTGGGGTTTTGTGTGCGATTTGCAGTTTTATGGAGATAGGTTTTGGGAAAGTGGTGAGAACAAAGAAGACGAGAAGAAGGAAGAGCCAGCATGATCTGGAATGTGACATGAGCTCTTTCCACTACTATTTATTTTATAGAAAAATAAATGAAGAGAGCAAACTCTAGTAAAATCATTGTCAGTACAATCAAACAAAAAATAAATAAATAATGGATCAGGATCTATTTCAAATATAATTGTTCTGTATTGAGTTATTTAGTAATAGTATCGGCAAAAAAATTTACCTCGCGAAAGACATGAGACTAAGAAATAAAATAAAAGGAAGTGGCGAGAGATCTAATATCATCGATGATCGTCCTCAGTCGCCAAGGTGCCCACACTTGTACAAAATAACATCAATAATAAGCTTGGAATCTCCTTCAACACACATTATTTTGAACTTCGTAAATCTCTAAGCATCATGAAGAGCAAGAATAGTACTAAGATTTAGTGATATTTATATTTCTTGTAATAGTGTGTTTATAACCAATTTATTCCCACCATCGCGTAAAAAGTCGACAATAGTCTTATTTCAAAGGATAGTTATAGTTTAAACCAATTTCCCATGTTCACCCCAAGAAAATAGAAAATTTTGAAAAAATAACCCTATATAGAATAATAGTCATTCTTTTAAGTTTATGATAATTATAATCAAATGTTAATATAAAAATACTAATATACCCATAAAATAGAAATTGAGAGATAAGAAAGAGAGTTTGAAAACAAATCCAAAAACCAAAATCAATCTAAGATTAGCCCAATGTCCTACAGGGTTCGTTTAATTTTTCCAAAGAAAAAAACTGACCCATGAACACAACGGTTTTCTCTGTTTGATTTGTGTGATATGCAAAAATTGTTTATTTAGTTAGGCGTATGTATAAGTCAAATCTCTCACATTAAAGGGCGTGAAAGCCAAGATCATAAGCACCAGTGCCAATGGGAAGCAACAACAACATGAAACGTGGGAAGACAATGGCGGAAGTATCAAAGGAAATATCAACAAAGTTGTTGAGGCATACAAGCAAAGGCAAATAAGCAATGACTTCAAGCTAAAGTAGCTGGCTTGCAACATACTTGTTCCATTCCCTTTATCGTGAGATAGGGTTCGCCGATATTCTGTTGCCTTTTTTTGTCTCTGAATATGACGATGATACTCTACTTCATCTATTAGGAGTGCTGTATGTTTGGGCACTAGAAACTTTTCTTGTTTTAATATCCATAACGCAACTTGTTGAAGAGTGATTTGACAAATAAATAAAAGCCTGTGACAGTACTAAGTCGATTTGCTTTAGGAACATCAAAATTCATTTACTGATGCGTCGGTCCGGCAGATCAAATCACAGCACAACACCCAAATGAAGGAAATTATCCCTCAAACAAACCTACTTTTCACCGTAAAACTCAAAATCTCCAACACTTGACTAATGCATGTTTTAGCAAAAAATTGTTTATTGTTCATCATTTTGTTGTGAAATTGTTGTTGGGTTTCTATTGTTGTTAAAAAATTGGAGGTGGAAAAGAAGTAAATTTCTACAGGATTTATTTTCAACCTTGCTCATCTCTCAATTTCTATTGTGAGGCATTATCAATATTTTCATATCAACATTTGGTTATAATTATCATAAATTTAAAATGATGGCTATAATTCTATTTAGGATCTAAATTCTGGTTAGTTTTCCAAATTTCCCAAGAAAATACTTCTCTACCTTCGACCCCAAATAATTTTTCTTAAAACAAATTATTTTTTTTGTTTTAATTCTATTTATTTATATTTTAAAGGGCGTAGTCAAATAAGAATCTAGAGGAGTTTAAGAAGATTTTTGGGTAAATTACACTTTACCATATCAGGTTTGGGGTCTATTACAACTTGATACAACATCTTTAAAACATTTCACCTTCATACCTCAAATACTATTTTATTTCAATACAACACATCCGTTACATTTTCCATCCATTGATCTGTTAAGAGTTGGGTGACTGCCAAATTTGTGCCATGTGGCAAAAAAATAATTTTTTATTCTTTTACAATATTATAATAATTTACCCAATTAAAAAAAAAAAAAAAAAACTAAAAACCCAGAAACCCTTCTTCCCCGAGCCTTCCCCCTTCCCTGCAACCCAAACACACCATCCCCCCACCCCCACCTCCCCCGCAACCCCTCACCCCACCCAACCCCCTTCTCCTCAACTCTCCTCACCTCCCCTCCCATCCAAAAACCCACCATATCCCATCCAAACAAATGCCCAGATCTCATTCTCCCCTACATTTCTCTGATTCAGGTCCGACTTTCCCCGTTTCAGATCCGCCAAGATCATCCCCCACCTCTTCATCACCAGCCATCATGCTCTTCCTCAACGGCAACACCATCCCTCACCTCTTCATTACCATCATCTGCTACGTCCTCCCCTCCGAGGACCACACCGTCCAGAAGCTCATCCTCCTCTACCTCGTGATCATCGACAAGACTGACTCCAAGGGAAAGGTTATGCCGGAGATGATCCTTATCTGCCAGAACCTCCACAACAACCTCTGGTTTCTTTGTCGCTTGAACGAGTTCAAGATCATCAAGCTGTTGATCCTCTCAATTCTCGCCAATTTGGAGCACCGCCACTCGTTCGTGCGGCGGATGATCATGTCTGTACCGGTTGCCACAGGGGTACACATTGCTGGATAGCGTACCGGAAGATAGTGGAGGAGAAGGAGGTGGGGTTGGGTAGGGAATGGGGGGATGGGGTGTTTCGGTTGAAGCAAAGGGGGAAGGCTTGGGGAAGAAGGGTTTTTGGGTTTTCAGTTTATTTGTTCGTTTTGTTTAAATTATTATAATATTTTAAAAGAATTAAAAAAAAAATTTTCCATGTGACACAAATGTGAAAGCCACGTCAGCTCTTAACGGATGAATGGATAGAAAAATGTAACTGGTGTATTATATTGAAATAAAATAGTACATGGAATATGAAAGTGAAATGTTTTAAAGATGTTGTATGAGATTGTAATAAATCTTAACTCTGAGGTGCTAAAGTGTAATTCACCGAAGATTTTTTTTAAATGGATTTATTAGGTGGCATAAATCTTTACCGTCGAAAAATTTCAAGGGTTAAGAGGGGAGGGGAGGGGAGGGAAGGGAATTGTAAGATAAAAGTCGATAAACCTCCAAAACCCCTCCATCACTCGGCCAGTGCTTTTCCCTAACCAAATACATGAGAAGCTGAATTCCGCAGGAAAGGGATGAGCAGGGCTTCTACTCTCTTCCAATTGTGGCAGACCCCAATCAGATTGCCGCTCGCAATCTCTAAAATTTCAAAAGGTTTCCCTCTCTCTTTCTCTCTCAAACTTTTCTGTGTGATTTGATTCCACTGTACGTGTTGCTTGCTTTGATTTTACTATGAAATGCTTGCCTTTTGATTCAGTGGATGTCAATTCTTATTTTCTGCAACTCTTTTTGTTGCCATTGCTGTTTGGAAATTCACGGCTTCATTTTCCATTGGAATCCCAACCACTTGTGCATAACTATTTGTTTTTCAATCATTCCATTGGTCTCTTAAGTTTTACTTGTCTGAGAAATTAAATTCCATTTGGCTTCACGGTGTGTGATTACGGTTTTTGGTTTTTAACTTGCATGGCCTGTGGCATTTACAAATGTTTTGGATCCTAATGCAGGTCCGCACTTGATACCGAGTGCCAGAAGTTATCCAGTACAGTGCTTCTGCAAGGAAATACAAACTAGCACATACGAAGTTGTCAAGGGAAGCTATGTACCTTCACCTGTTGTAAAACCAGAGAGCAAGGCGAAGGTATTTTCTCCTTGGTATCTGTATTTATTTGGTCTCATGGGCACATTTATGATTTGACAGAAAATAAGGATAAATTACTAGTGACCGAAGCAAAGCAAGAAATGATATGAAATAATTAAATGGTCCGGAAATGTGAAAAGAATCAAGAAGAAGCAAAGATTTAACATTATGTAATCATTATTTTGTAGTTTCATGGAAAGTATAACAAGAGGATTCAGTCAGTAATTGGTTGGTTTGCTCTTGTATTCATATTAGAAATATATTAGGGCATTACTTCTACTACTACTACTACTACCTTTTTCTTGTTTTATGATAAGAGTAAGAGAGGTTGGACAGACCTTATGAATAAGTATCTGGGTATGGTGCAATTCAGGATTGAAGTATAAAAGACCGACTGCAATAATGGTATGACCTTCTGGAGCTGTCAACGAGGGAGTTGGGTTTTGTTGATCAATAACCACCATGAACAATGTGTTCGAAGTTTGGCATTTAGAAGTTTCTGACTGTATAGTGGTATAGGGGATGGAATTATTGGGTGTGCATCTCATACAATAGGTTGCAGGAAAATGGTAGTAGTAAATGATCAATCTTGTTGACCAATTCACATTGTTTGTCCTGCTAACAGAAGAAGTATAAGTACCATGTATACCATATACGGGCATATAGGTTGTATGTGTACCATATATATAGAGATACAGGTGGAGGCATGCACTACAATATAGTGGATGTATACCAATGATGGTTGAAATATCCATTTGATTCGTTTTTAGAAACAGTAGTTGTATATTGTGCAGAGAAGTTAATTGCTGATTATTTGGTGCATTCATATGGTATTAAAACTCAGCGAAGTTGATTTTGACAACTTGAATAAGTTTGATATCTTAATGGCGTTTATGTTAATGGATTGTTGTCAATTTGGTTACTTGATTCTAATGTGACAGAACTTGAAGGGCATTGTTCTCTCAAGTTTAAATAAGTTTCAAGCTTCTATCAAACTTTATTTTATTTTTCTGGTGCCTACCTTCCTGCAATCTTTTCTCTTGAGAATAAAAATAGGAAGAAGTAATGGTGGTACCATGGTCCCAATATTATAATTCTAGGAAAAATCACTCGAAAATCTTGAAGATGTTGGTGCATTCCAAAAGCTACCCATGGTGATGCCGTCTGTTGACATTCTGTACTCAGCACTAAGGAAGGCTAAGAGGATTACACCAACAAAGGGTACTTGTTATTAGTGTTTATTTTATATCAGTTCTAACAAAAATACATTAGATTGGAATTGTAGGGAACTTGGTTTGTAGGACCCCTACTGCTAGTCTGTTGGCCATGATTTTTGAAATCTTATTTTCAGGTATTGCCAATATTGCAAAGCGAGAGAGAAATAGAGGTGCAAGGCAACTTGATGCATTGATGAAAGTTTGTTCTTAACTGAAGTTTGTCTTTTGATTGCATTTTCTTTTGTAATGTTTTTTATATGAAAGATTGTTGAATGATAACTGACTAGCTTTCTGTTTCCATCTGCAGGAATTGGCAATTCCGTTGAGAACTTATTCAGAGAATTTTCCAAATAAAAAGTATCTTCACCCTTACGAACGGTCTCTTATTGAATTAACTCTTGGGGATGGAAATTATGAACAGGTACATATTGAGCAAATTATGGCCAATATTCAATGCAGAATAAATCAAGGATGTTATTGCAGTAAAAAGTTAATTGGAATAACTTGTTCATATTCTCATAGTCATGTACTAAAAATATGAGTTAGGTTGTTGTTTTGATGTTTCTTATTATACTAAAATGAAAAAAATGCTTTCTCTCCTCGTCTTTTTGAATGAATTTCAATGAATACCTTTCAAACTAGTTTTCCAATTGTTTCTCCACGAGGACTGAATTATACTATCTTGTGACATTAAGAGAATGCAGATTGGTATTAAACTTTCATCAACTGCTCAGTCTTCAACTTTTTATTTGATTACAGGTGTTGGGAAAGGTTGATGCTTTGAGGAAGAAGGTTGTGTCTATTGGAAAGGAACATGCATCTCTTTGTGCTAAGGTGGATACAGTTCCCAATTCGAGCTTTCAGTATGGAAATTTATGACCTTTGACTGCCTTCCTTCATATTGTCCATCATGATTGCATACAATGCACTTGTACTTGGCAGCTTATGCTACTTTCTTCTTTTCTCGGACATCTCCTTAATTTTTATGTTTATGCTTCATTGCTTATTAGCGTCGAAACATTAGTTGAAATTTAAGTGGTATTTTATGTTGTGCAGCATTATTCTTCCATGCCTGTTTTATATTGGCTTCCATGTGCTAACTGCTTAGCATTCGTGAAATTTCTCATCTACTCGTGCTATATTAGCTTTATGGGGATTACCTGCATCTTCTCTTGCCAGAAACACAAACAGTGCATTGTGTAACTACTGTATGGATTTTACTCTACCATATTAGCGGTGTCCATTTATAGTTTTATCACGGTTGGAATTTCCTATATGTAAAAAGCTAGGGAGATCCTACCCATGATTAAAAAATCAAAATAAAAAACTTGGGAGTAATGTATTTTATTGATTCTAGAAGACAAAATATTTTACAAAGTCTCGTATATTTTGTGGCAGTCAACGACGAAGAAGGAAGCAGAGGCAAGACTAACTGAGGTCATTTCTATTCTTTAGTCAAAAGAAAAACTCCATTTTAGCCGTGTAGATAGATATTTACTCTGTTACAGTTATATCTACAGGGTATAAAGAAAGTCGAAGAGACATTTAATCGTGAAGGAAAACATGTCGATGATTTGTTACACATAGCCAAGGTGCTTTGATTTCTGAACTTGGTTCTACAGTGGTTCTTGTTTTTTGTTTATTCATTTTTTTTTTTCCTTTTGAACTTATGGAAGGCACGACATGTATTGTGTATTATGACGGCATGGGTTCGAATCCCGTTGGTGGCTAATGTAACATCTAATCGAACAAAATCTATCGTTTGGCAAAAAAAGAAAAAAAAAAAACTATTTAATTGTTTCAAAACACATTTCGTATCTATCATTTTATTTTTATAGATATGGTGTGTCTGAGAATCTGATCTTGCACGCAAGATTTTAAATATTATAAAAAAAAAAATTGTCAGGCAAAATTTGTATCATTAGGTTTCCTTAAGTTAAATGCACTGTGGAAGAAAATGGTATTTGGAGTCTATCATTTTAATCACTAAATTCTGTACTGTTTTGTCTAAACTTTCATACTAGTTCTTTGAGAAAAAGAAAATATAATTCATACTACTTGGTTGCATCATACTTGTTCAATATAACTTAAAAATGGTTTCTCTGTGATTCCATGCCTTGTTTAGGAATGCATTTTAGAAATTTTAATGGGTTGATTTATGCAACTCTGGTTTGTTGAGTCACAAAGCTTTTTTTTTCCCTTTCCTTTTGGAATACCCCCTCTTTTAACTATTTATACTTGCAGACCCTGCGAGCAATGCCAGTAGTTGATCTAGAAGCACCGACACTGTGTCTTGTTGGAGCTCCTAATGTCGGGAAGTCATCTTTGGTCCGTATACTCTCTACTGGGAAGCCTGAGGTATGCACAATTTTAATGACAAATATAATTTTCCTTGTATGGAGGATGTATGAAAGTCTTATTTTTCAATTATTGTTACCATCAAATATCATCGTCTTCATCTCACTCTCCTTATTCTAATTTAAGATCTGCAACTACCCATTCACAACAAGAGGAATACTAATGGGTCATATTATTTCAAGCCATCAGACTTTTCAGGTCGGTCAATTTCTACAATATTTAGAATGAATAAATATTTTTGATTTTCAATATTAATTTAAGTTGACTACAGGTGACAGACACTCCTGGCCTGCTGAAGAGATGTGATGGTAAGTGACTGGCATTTGCTAGTTGTATGTATCTTGTAGAGTGGTTATGTTTAATTGTTGCAAACATTGATCCAATATGCAGAATGTCGATGTTAAATACCAAAATTTAGTCTAGTTGGTTGATACATAGTCCATTATGAAAACACAAGTAATTATGGTACACTGCTGAATGAACTGTTCTGAATAACCATTGCTTACTTGCTTGAGTAAATGAAGCTTGGTTTAGAGGCTGATCAAATATATAAGGTCTGTATAGGATTTTGGTTCAAATATGACTATGAGGATAATCCAACAGGGCATAGCGAAACCAATTTCTTTTCTTTTTACTTTACTTGCATCTAATTTTCATTATAACACTCCATATTTATGCAATCACTCAATTCATTCTCTCTCAAAGTTAAGCCTTTCTGGCGAACTTGACATGAGCTCATTCCGAACTGTCTCATTTCAATTTTGTATATGTTAATTTGTATTTGAAAACGTAGAAACTTGTGCTTCTAATGCAAATCCTTTATGGACCATTCGTATGATATATTAAAGGAAGTTTTTTTCAGCTTAATGTTTAGCATAAAAGTTTGTCTCCCCACTGGATAGGCTTTTGGACCACATAAAAAGTTGGAAACTGGTAATGCATACTACTATATTTGACGCTGCATCGGAGGAAAGGTGTACTTCTGGAGGTTCATGTCACTGTTATCGTACTCCTGTTAAAGCACCACTTGGGTGTGTGTGTGTGTGTATATGCAGGTGCTGTCCTGTGTATGCCCTGGTTTCCTTTTCATTAAGGTTCTTTAGTTTTCAGTATAATGACATAGGTTGGGTTCGGTAAGAAGAAAAAGTCTTCACCACTCAATGAACAATTTTTCAGTTGCACGACTGATTGTGGTCAATATATGATTAGTTTTTTATTTTCAGCTTCTGTAGTTGTAGTTGGTGCTTATATTTTTGTTGCTCGATTGGTTTTTCATTTTTTTTTTTTTTTTTTAATTGTGTGCTTCAGAGGACAGAAATAATTTGGAAAAATTGACACTTGCTGTCCTCTCACATTTACCGACCGCAATTCTCTATGTCCATGACCTCACTGGGGAATGCGGGACCTCACCTTCTGACCAGGTATTATGTTGTTTTACATACTATTTCTGGATTCAATACGAGACGTTAAACATGGTTTTAATGGCATTGAATTGAATTTAAATAAAATGGAAGGGATTCTTACAGCTCACAACAGATTGAGCAATGGTTGAGAAACAACTCGGTATAGTTTAACTCTTTTTGTTTTTTTGGTAATTCACCGCGGTAGAAAATGTTTCCCCTTCACCATTATGCTTTTGTTCTTCCTTTCCAATATATTAAATTCATGGGTTTTCTACGATGACCGTGCAGTTTGTCATATACAAGGAAATAAAGGAGAGGTTTGGTGAGCATCTGTGGCTTGATGTTGTGTCCAAATGTGATCTGTTGCAAAAGTCTCCAGTGCTATTTGCCACTGATAATGGTGATGATTCTGATCTTAAGCTGGAAAGGTACCGGAAGTTGGGTCCCGACGGAGCTATTCATGTGTCAGTGATGAATGAAGTAGGGCTCGCCGAGGTAATCTTTATATCATAAGTTCACTGTCCAAATATAGTGTTGAGCGTTCAAGCCTTGAGCTCGGTTGTTTTTCAATTTCAATGAACTTGCTCGGCATTTGTAGTTTCGAACAAATTAAACCGGAAACAAAAGTATTTGCTTGTCAACTAACAATTCACGCTTGGATGTTTGCACTGCAGTTGAAGAGTAGAGTGCATGAGATGCTGGATTCTCAGATGACAAGGATCCAAGTTCAAGAAAGCAACAAAGAAAAGCTTAAAGTTGTTAGTTGACAACTTGAGAGAGCATTTTCTGAAGTTCAAAAGAGAAACCAATTGAGTACGCTGCTTCCGAACAAGCCGAAGTCTGAAGACCTGTAGCATGCAAGTGCTTGTATATAACACACTGCTGACTTCTCACACTTTTTTGGTCCCTTGTCATCGTGATGATCTATTTAGGCATCCAAGACGATTCGGAGAAGCTGAGTTGATTGCCTTAGGAGTACTGAAAACAGTCCGCATTTTCTTGGACAACTAGTAGGAACTAATAGTTGGAGGATGATGTTGCAGTAAGAAATTGCTCTCACAATGCTGAATGCATACATTTAAGCTTGGTTCTCTATGCCTGAGAGTGTTCTTTTCATTGTATAAAACGTACTCTTTGTTTATAGACTCGGTTGAGACTCGAGCCCTAGCTGGTTACAGCTAAACTTTGTTTTCCTCTTTTCCTGTTCCAGAAGGTGCATTTCCTCTACTGTTATCAATGGACTCCCTTTTGCTCAACCTAAAGAACCAAGTAGTTTGAAAGCAAACAACTCCTGAGGTTGCTTGTGTTATTTAAACATGGAACGATTGATTCTGTCGATGCTGATATCGGATATTGGCTCGATGGGCTGATCATCATCCCCAACTGGAGAAGAGCTCAGAGGATCTCTACTGAATTCATCTGCACAAGAGAATGGAAGTCCATTTGCACAACTTGTCGAAAAAAATGAAATGAAAAGATTAAAACAGACATCTGAAACGTTAATTGGCGAACCAAGGGAATCAACTCTCACCGTAAACAGTATATAAGGAAGAAGGGGGAGGGGTGGACATGAAGTTGACGCCACAGTAAAATCCCAATGCTAATACCACTGTCATCATAGCGTAAGCTGGCACGGCCAATGCCCAATACCTGAAAATAGCGCAATAAATTCAAAAGAGCGAACTTGTTGGGAAGTACTTTTGGAATGGCTAAAACTGCTTCCGACAGCAGTCAGCAAGGAAAAGTGAAAAGTATTTATGGGTTACAAAAGCATAGTGCTTTATAGAGGAAGCAATTGAAAGTTAATTTTCAGCTTTTTTTTTTTTTTTTTAATAACATACAGAAATTTCATTAAATAGCTAAGCAGCACTGAAGAACAAACAATAGGCAAAAGCAAAACAGGACGCTGAGGCCACAGAGAACAGAAAAGTGAAAAAAATGATAACGGTGGGCAAGATACAATGTTGCAACATGCTAAGACATCAGGCGCCCAAAACTACTGAACTAGACAGTGTTCGACGGTGGACATAGCAAACCATCCCTTAAACAAAACATGAGCAAAGGAGGAAGGGGGTTAGTTTAACAAAACGTCACCGCACATCCTCCTTTTCTCCATAGATGCAAAAGCACTTCCAAGTGCATTTTCGGTAAACACTTGGAATTCTTTTAAACAATTTCATTGTGCTTTCAATGTTAATGTTCCTAACAAAAGCGCTCATAATTCATAGGGCAAAGTACTTGTTTCCCAATCCAAATGACTATAAACTTCCGAAACGACGACAAAACATTATCAAAGTTGCAAGTAGCTAATCATCTAATCATTAAAAACCACCGGCCAAACTGTTTCCTTTCCCACTCCAAATATCTCGAATCTGATTTAAACACAACTCTAAAACTCCCCTAGATATGACAAAACATGATCAAAGTTATGATTAGCTAATCGTCTAATCCTTTGAAACAACAAAAGAACAGAACTGATGGCGGATAATAATCTCAAAGAAAACTCAAAAAACATACACGATTGAAACTGAAAGCAAAAGGGGGACCTGCTGGGATAGTAAAAAATCCCAATGGAATGCAGCCAAGACTCTGGAACATACGCCCACACCAAGAATATAACTGCTCACACAGCACAGCACAGAATAATACCGAAATTAAATAAATAAATACGTATAATTAAAGAGAAATAAAAACTGAATTTGTAGAAGAAGAGTATTGGGCGGGACCTGTAGCCACAACAGTAGTGATGGAGCCAACAAAGCCATAGACTTCAGAAGGCTTGGGGCCATGAAACCCAGAAGCCTTGTCATCTGAATCAACAAATGACACTGTTGCCCTCCTCTTCTTTGATACACTCAGTATTCTTCTGGGGCTGCACACAGAATATGAATCCTCCATTCTTTTCAATTCTTCTTCTTCTTCTTCTGGGTTTCCACCCAAATCATAAACAATTAATCCCAATTATTTTATTAACAATTTGGGTTCCTTTCTCCTAAATTAGTGATTGAAATCCTGTAAGTGCATAACTGAGATTCATAAATAAGAAGAAAACAAAAACTTGTGTGTCCTCTAAGAATTCAGTTTCCAATTTCAATTACTATAATTGACAACTCTAACTCAATCACATGTATAAAAAAAATAAAAAAAAATAAAAAAAAATAAAAAACCGTAAATGGATTCAAGATACAAGAGAGAGAGAGTACCTGGAATTTGAGAATGTGATGCCAAACGCAGGAGCTACGAGTTTTTATGAATTTGGGTTTCAAGAGAGCATGGTGGACTTCTTTCCTTTTTTTTATTTAATTTTTTATTATTAAAGAATGAAAGGCTTTAAAATTAGGAAATTGTTATTAGCATTTCAAAAATCTCATTATACATTTTTTATAAGCGTATTTTTCTTTGTAATTATAAAAAATTTAAAGTGCTAAATGAGATTTTTAAAATGTCAATAATAATTTTCTAAAACTATTATAATTTACAAGAATTTAGAAGATGAAAAGTATTCGGATGCATGAACAGTGGACTTATAAATTCATTTTTTTAAAAATAAAAAAAAATCCTATAAATTCATAAATTCGGAGCGCATACAAAAGGGGAAAATTTGAATTTAGCACGCACTTAATTAAAAGAAAAAGATTTTATTCATTGAAGTAGTACACCTCTTGCATTAACCCCCAAATATGGGTACAAAGTACAAACCAATAAGAAGAAAGCGCCTTTTTTTTATTTTATTTTAAATTGATTGATTTATTTATTTTTTAATCAAATTACAGAATTTAATGCCTATGGGCTAATGCTTAATATGTTCGTAATCAATAAAATAAATGAATCGAATTCAACTTTTCGACGTGAATGGTGTGTAAAAAGTGAATATGCATGCTTGTGTATTGCTTATTAATCAATATAGTATATTCATTCATTCGCAGTTAAAAAATATTTCTCGTTAAAAAATTTCAACATAATAAAAGATATGAATTATCTAAAAAAGCATTAACAAGCTCGTACTAAGTTGAAACCAAACTTCTACTCACCTAGTAATCCAAAAAGCAAAAATCGAACCTTGTACAAAAAGTTATGATTTTTATCATAATTGCAGTATATCAGCCCAATCCCAAGGGTATTAGGATTAGTACTTACCAATTGAATTTCCTACAATTTTTCAAGAAGTAAAAAGTGCTTTCCTTATATATATACTCCACCGTACTCATAGTAATTAGTATTTATTTGCAAAATCATACTTACTCAAAAGAAAGCAAAACCTTTCCTATCTATCAGTACTGAATCACGCTGCTTTTCAAATCTCTAACGTGCCTCCTCCATTATTCTCAGTCTTTTCGAAATTCCTCACGCCCTAATAAATATATAAATATATATATATATATATATATATAGACACACACACACACACACACACACACACACAGATATATATATAGTAGCACTCTGGATTATACAGTTGAACGAACAAAGTAGCCATGGCAGGAGGAGTTAGTAGTGATCAATGGACTTGGCAAGAAAACAAAGTCTTCGAGACTGCCATAGCGACCTACAATATTTACTGCATTGAAAAAGGGGAGTGGGAGAAACTCTCACTTTTGGTTCCTGGAAAATCCATTGATCAAATCAAATCACACTTCATGCAGCTACTGATGGATTTGGAGGCCATCGAGTCTGACCAAGAACCGCTCCCTGATTACAAAGATGATCTTTTTCTCATGAAGAAAAAAGGATCGAGACGCCAGCGACAGCAACGGCAGTGATCATGATGGTACCGGAAAGAGAGAATTTGATCAAGTTGTGGTGACAGTTAGACGAATTTGATTATTCCATGCATGGTTTTTCATAGTTATGCTTTTCATATCATTGGCAACATGTCGATATGTTGATTTAAGTTGTCGATATAGATTCTGATATCGTGTCTACGGATGTCGACATAGTCTCGCAACATGTTGTGATATGGTATGAAGTAATGTCTTTATAATTTGTGGTATTCTGGTGGACTGGATTCTCGTGCGCGTATTAGCTGATGCATAGTGCCCATTTAATTTTGGTCCAGTATGTATGAACACCAAATGCCCAAATAATTCAGAACTACCTAGCCTAATGGGCCGGGCCTATAAGCAAGGCTTGGCCAATCTTTACAATAATCATTTTCAAACAGAGTGCTCTTTCATCCACCAAATTTGTACTTCACATCAATTTTTCTTCCATGGTACATATTAGACAGTGTAAAAATCAACAGTTAAATATTACGTATAAAAATTTAAAAGATATTTTCACCGTTTTGGATCTAATATTGTAGCCAGACCCTTCTTTTGCATCATAGTTATGTAATAAAAATAAAAATAAAAATTCAAAAGTCAAATTCCATTAGCCGACCATGCTTTAGATAAGTTGGCAACAACAATGGGCATCTCCACCTACGCTCCAATTTAAATCTCCTCTCAATAGTTTTGGATGAATATAGTGTAGAATATCGCTATGTTATCAAAGATAACATAAAAACAATATACACCATTAGTTGCTGAATTATCGGCATTACTGTTCAACTTAAGAACCATCTTTGCCGACCATAGTTGAATACATCTTTGTTTAAGACAAATTAGACCACATCAAAGTTGGAAAATACAAATGAGTTCCTCAGTTTGTTGAATATAATACTAAGCAGATAATGTCAAAAACATGATTATCATTTGCTTATACTGCTTCTGTGGGACTAATTCAAACAGTCTATCTGTAAACCATCTCTCATTAGCAGAAGATTTTAGCCGTACTCGTCGTTTGGATAAATTAATTTGTTGTCAACTGTCAATTAAAAGGGAGAATAATCATTGAGAATTTAAAAAGATAATGTGGAATTAACTAATCCATGGCCTAGCTAGTCCCATAGCCACAATGATCAACTGGTTTAATTTTGAATCTTGTGTTTAATTATTCCAAAGTGAGATAAACAAATATGGTTTGAGAATATTTATGGGTAGAATCAATAGAATAGTGTTTGATCATTTGTACACATGTCTGATTCATATATAATCCCTCTTTTCTAGCACTTAATGACAAACAATTTAGAATTTATGCCCAAATTTCCAACATAAACTATGTCGACAGATGTCATTAATTTGCTGTAATACTTTTACACTTTATAACTCACTATTTTTGTGATTTGGGAATAGTTTAGAAATAACTTTCAAAGAAAATATATTTGAAATCAGTCCTTAATAAAAATGTAAATTAAATCTAGAAAAACACTTGAAGTGTTTCTTGCAATAAGCATAATTACTTTTGGAACTCAAAAATATTTTTTTATTTAAAAAAAACAATTCAGTCATTTAAAAACACTTTCCAAATAAGTTCGTAATTATCTGGTAATCTTAATATGCGAGGAGAATAACTGGTTAAATTAATTTGAGGATAGAATAAGGCGATCGAGAAGAGTGCTATTTAATGTGACATCCCACATCGTCCAGGGGAGTGATCCTTAAATGTATATTCTAATCTCTATCTAGCACGAGGCCTTTTGGGAGCTCACTGGCTTCGGGTTCCGTAGGAACTCCGAGGTTAAGCGAGAAGGGGGCTAGAGCAATCCCATGATGGGTGACCCATTGGGAAGTTGCTCGTGAGTTCCCAAAAACAAAACCGTGAGGGAATGGTAAGCCCAAAGCGGACAATATCGTGCTACGGTGGTGGAGCGGGCCCGGGAAGTGATCCGCCCCGGGCCGGGATGTGACAGATTGGTATCAGAGCCTATCCCTCGCCGGAAATGTGCCGACGAGGACGTCGGACCCCTAAGGGGGGTGGATTGTGACATCCCACATCGCCCAGGGGAGTGATCCTTAAATGTATATTCTAATCCCTACCTAGCACGAGGCCTTTTGGGAGCTCACTGGCTTCGGGTTTCGTAGGAACTCCGAGGTTAAGCGAGAAGGGGGCTAGAGCAATCCCATGATGGGTGACCCACTGGGAAGTTGCTCGTGAGTTCCCAAAAACAAAACTGTGAGGGAATGGTAAGCCCAAAGCGGACAATATCGTGCTACGGTGGTGGAGTTGGGCCTGGGAAGTGATCCGCCCCGGGCCGGGATGTGACATTTAAAGTATTCAAGCTTGTTGATGGTGTGCCACTTAGTACTATAGTCTAATGATATTCCTCTTCACTTGTAAGTGAGAGGTATTATGTTTGATTCTTGCCAAAGACGAATTTGAACCACATTATTATTAGCTCATTTTGAAGCTAAACTCACTCCGCTCCCCTTAATGTTGATAAATTTGTTCAAAAAAAAAAAAAAAAAAAAAAGCTTGTTGATTGCGCTTGGTTTTGGGATTATTTGATGGATGATACTTTGATACTCACAAGTGAATACCCTACATACTTTTTTTTTTTTTTTTTTTGGCTCCATAATATTACCACATGTATTATTGTTTTAAATAATAATAGACATACTAATTAATCCCTAAGACACCTCCCACACCAATGGAATCGGTCTTCAAGAATGTGATGTGATTAGTTGTATAATGTATTACCCCTTTTGATTGGATTATGAGTGTGATGTGTGTAGCCCATAAAATAATGTAATTTTGTGATAGGACCAAGACTGAGGAAAATAATAATCATGTAACATGAAATCCCGCTAGAGTTTATTTTGTTTATTCAAAATTATCTCTTAGGATTTTATGGATAAGTTATGTGGATGCAAATTTCTTCCTCTTTGTTCTTGGACAAAATTGCACTTACAAAACAAATAACATCTTGGGTCAGGGCCAAGAGCCTCACGCGCCCACGATGAATTTGGAGGGGGGGGCTTTGGCCAAAGAACCTTCGATGTCAAAGTTAGAATTTAGAGAGAAAAAGTGTTTGGAGAATTTTGAGTATTTAACAAGAGTCTAGACTTAGGTTTTTAGAGAAAATGGGATAGTATATATAGGGCATGGGGGAAGAAGGTGGCCGGCCCTTTGTGTTGTTTTTGAGTGTATTTTGTAGTTAATTGGTAGTTTCCTTAGCCATTAATAGATTAATTAGGTAATAAATCTATTAATTAGCTAATTAACATAATTTAAAAGGAATGTTTTAGGGGTTACCTTGTGGAGAAGATAGATGAAATAGATTTTGAATAAATACCTATTTTGGGCACTTTTGACTTGATTGTGGGATGATTGTCCACTGCTCGCGTGTGGGAATTCTAGTGCTCCTCAAGGTTAATTTTGTCTTTTCTGCCCAAAAATCTAAATGTCGTCTCTTGATTATTTATGGCTCCACAAGTTATATTTTATGGCATTAGTTTTTTTTTTATATGAAATTTTGGCATTAGAGTTTGTAATCTGATTCATATTATTATTAATAAAATTAACATTCTCATT